TTTGATATTTTACTAAATACTTTAAAACTTGCACCCACAAAGAGAACTCATGAGTCCCTCTGAATTACAGAAAGAAATCAGGACACTAGTTCATTGAAATGGAATTCACATGCCTCATGTTTCCTTCTTTCTCTTAAGAACCAGCTCATGTAAAAAGTAGTGTCTGACTCAATACCCAGAACACTCTAGAACTAGTTGGATATGCCTCCACACAAGGTAACTAGGCTTCAGTTTACATGGTAAGAAAGAATTGACCAATAATTGACAGAGACTTGGAGCAAGGGAAGGGATTGCCCATAAGGCCACACTGGGGAAATCCACTTGTGAGACTGCATTGTACTATGTCTTGACTTTCATATGCATTTGTCGAAACTTATAGAGGTGACGCAGTGGGTTAGGACACAGTGGGTTAGAGCGCAGCACTGCAAGGTTGTCCATGGCCGCTTTAATGTGAACTTGAGCCCCAGCCCTGGAGGTGATCCGTATGGAGTCGCAGACCTCTCCTGACCCTTCCGTTGCTCCCCTCAGCAGTGTACTTCTGCGATCAGTTTGTTCTGCTCCCCACTCTGTCTCTGGTGAACCTTCTCATCGCCCCTGCACCTCTGACCTGTACCCCATTTCGGTATGCATAAATAAATACAATCTTAAAAAAAAAAAAAAAAAAACATAGCACTGAGTTATAGAGGTATTTTGGTCTCCAAACATCACTTTATCATAAAAATTAACAAAAGAATATTCTTAAGGTCATGTTTCTTTCACAGTAAATATTCATCCCACTTCTTTCTAATATAGTTTTTTTTTAATTCACACTTTGTTATTTTATTCATGTACCCCCCAATACAATTACTTATGTTTATTATATTGTATTTATTGTATTATACACATCTATGCATATGGATATACACATATATTTGAATTAATTATACACTTGAATATCAACTATGTTTATTTTTGCCCCTATATAAACTTAGATGTACATAGTGGGCTACATTTATCTAATGTGAGTTTTGTTTATTTTATGGTGTAAGATTTAATGAAAATGTAGTTGGCTTATTTTTGCATTTCTTTGTATGTTCTTGTTTAACTGACTTATGATATACATAGAATTTTTTTCAGGAGTGACTTTGAAAACATATATCAAAATGGTGTACACATATTCATTTAGCACATAGGACACTAGATTTATCAGAATTATTCTGTAATGACTTACATGATCACTCACTTTTATGACATTTTAATTATCTGAAAGAGACCTGTGGTTTTGTATGTCATAAGAGATGAGCGTTCTCAGTTACAAATAAGCAGTTAGTTGTGACGCACTCTCTGCCAACAGAGAGAACCCACGATATATCTTCTTCTGGACCCTTTATTCTTCTCCCTCCGCGCGCCCTCCTCTCTCTCAGGCTTGCTTGCTTCTCTCTCAGGCTTGCTTGCTTCTCTCTCAGGCTTGCTTGCTTCTCTCTCAGGCTTGCTTGCTTCTCTCCCTCGCTCTAGCTTGCCTCCTCCCTGCTGCCTCCCCCGCCCCAGAGTCCGTTATGGCAGTTGCTTAAATAGCATTCATTGACCAATCAGAAAACTGCTCACGTGTACAACAACCATATTTGGGCAGGACACACAACAAGCATACATTGATCACGCAGAAGCATATCCAATAAGATTTAACTTCCTTATACAGGCGGGTGTTGGCGTATTTTGTTTTTCACTGGCTAAAGGCCAGGCGCCATTTTGGCTGCTGAATCATGGGGCTGGGGTCCTGGGCGCCCCGACAGTTAGTGATGCCCTGTCAGCTTGGTCCTCCCAATGCAGATTCAGTTCATAATGGACCACTGTAAAAATATCAAAATGGTTTTGTTTTCAAAAATTGTAGCACTTACTTTTAAGTAATTTGTCAAATAGTATTTTTTAGTCATAAAGGCCATTTAGATGTCAGATATCTAATCTTCATAAATATGAATGAACAGAAAAGAGCACTGCCAGGGGATCAGGGCTCCCAGAGGCTTCTCACACTCATGCACATAAGTTCTCAGGATGTCATTGCATGTATGTGTCACTGACAAACCAAACCCAAATAATGAATACATAAATGTAGTAAAAAGTACTCTTTTATTTTTCAGTATGCTTCTTTAAAAAAAGGTACATTTTTATTAGTAGTACGTTAATGGACTTAAAGAACGAAGTGACAAGCTTTTGTCACAGATATTAATTTACAGTTTACAAACATCCACCAAAACAATTAAAAACAAAATAAATATATTACATTTCATATTTCTGGTATTTTCATTACATTTTAATAAGTATAAAATATATAACATTTATAATGTTTTATTTTCTTCAAAAGCAAATTCAAATGTGCAAATCAGTAAATTATGATTTTAAAGGATTAAAGAATAAGACTAAATCATAAACAGAAATTTTAGAGGTATGAATAAGCAATTCCTTAAGGAGAGCTCATGAGTACAGCAGTATTAAAGTGTTGCAAAATGTTTGTTATTAACACTGGCACATCTACATTTACCTTAAAAAGTTAAGCACAAGATTGTCCTTGTACTTTTAAAGCTTCTTCTCACTGCTGATTCCTAGCAGTAATTCTAAATAATTGTTAAGATTTTTACTTTCCCATGATAATAAAACAAGCGTCTTTCAAATTAAGCATCCAATGGAAATGATGTATATGAGCAAGTTTTTTTGTAAATGAGGGATATGCTTATCTATAATCAAATGCACCCAAAGGAAAATTTATCTGCTTACATTGTTAATGCAGATTTGACATTTATTTTTAAATAATAAATTTTCTCCCTGTTAAATGACAGATTTAGAACAGACTGTGAGTTAGTACATGCCTGATAAATGGGCTACAAATGAACAGCTGATTATTCTCTCTTAAAAATAATGTTGGATATAGTAAATGTTGGGGTATACATTATACTTACATTATCTAAATATGTAATTCTTCTTGCAATATAACAAATTAAAAATACCCCACTTTAATATACTTCAGATTAAGTAACTTATTTTATCAGGCAAAATACATTATTGTAGTAATTAGCAATATTTCAAATGATTTCTGAACTTCCTTCTCTGACCTAAGTACCTATAATATAATATTCCCTTTGAACGCTCACTATGTACACTATAATGTATACATACATATACCAAGGCACTGGAGAGGTTAACACATAATTAAGCATTTTATTATTAAAATGTTCTCTAGTACAAACTAGGGTTTGATTATAAATCTCATGCATCTAAACCTAAATTACATGAGAAATAGAGATTTATCTGAGTACTTTTGCTCATTTCTAAACTTTCTCATTCAAATATTCCAAATTATAACAAATAATAGAGGCTTATCATTATACTGTAAAATAATATGCAAATACAATTTCCTAAATGGAGAAAATCATAATAATATTTTTTCTAATAGGTGACTGCTGCACTAATCATATTAATTTGTGAGTTTTTAAAAATAGTATCAAAAATAATAACTGTGTCATCATAAATTTTAATTCAAGGTAAAAGTTATAATGCAAATTTAAAATATACTAAGTATGTGTATTTGAAATATATGTCTCTAATATAATTTGTGGTTAGCATTGTTACATATATACACTGTAAGTATATATGTGTGTTTGTGTTGTACAAGGAGATATATACCCATATTTTTTCTTTCATTAAATACATGAGCACAGGCTTGAAGATTGTTATAACAAAAAATATTTAGTGAAATTCATTTTCTGTATTTTTAAAATGAAACTTTTACAAAATTTTAATGAACATTTCATTTTAAATGGTTATATTGCACATAAAGTATTCAAACTATTTTTGATTAATCAATTTCATATTGTCTGTAGTCCAGATTCTCACACAATGGACACAAAAATGTGGGGCTCATTTAGCTAAAGATGTAATTCTAGGTAGTAGCAGTTTCTATAATGAACTATCTAGTGCTGTTTAATATCCCAGGATAGTTGTTTCCCTCTATTTTGTCCACAAAAGTTCCCAAGTGGCATATTGGCCAGATTTTGTTGGGTTTCTAATTTCAGAATGGCTGTTGTGTTTGATCAATATATAATAAGCAATGATTCTGGTGTTACCTTAAATGTGGACACATTCAGTTTTGTGTTCAAAATAAATTATATTAAAACTGTATACAGTTCAATTGACCAAGGTTCTATTAAGGCATTCTAATTCCAATTTATAACTTGCTCAGTTCAATTCTGAACCTTGACTTTTTCTTTTTAATTCAATGTGTTTAAGATTAATCAGATACATAGTGGATACTTATATAATTTATAATGATTCTGGGAATCGTGTGGTATCATTTAAAAAATGTAATTGCCAACTACTTCTTCTTCAAATAAATTTATTTTCTTACCTATTGTCTATTTTTTCTTATTAAAAAAATCAGACTTCCTGCCTTTATATTTGGTTATCTTCACAAAGAAATATTCCATGCTTCATTATACTCCAAAACATGTGTTAACAATAATGTAATAATTTTAAAAGGCAATTGGTCATTTAAATGCACATCTTTTAAATGCACATAGCTATGGTGAAGAACAGAGAGAAATTTCCAAATTATACAAATAGTTATGGACTTTATAAACCTAGGGATTCATGACATCTCTAATATTTTCAACTTTCCAACATACTCACATTTATATATTTAAGACAACAAAATGATCCCAGTGGTTTGGCATTATGCAATCATTTTTATGATGTTATAAAATAGAAATATTAAATTATATTTGCTTACCTTAGTTTTTCATAAAATATTACTAAAATTAAATTTGTATCTACTATACAAATAATACATTTGAGACTGCTTTTGAAGGATATTTCAGTCCATCATTAGCTAGCAAAGTTGGATTACAAACAATTGTTGCTCACATCAGATTTCTTTATATTATTTTCTCTATAAAATGTTTTGGGATCACTGAAAATTTCTGAAACTTTAATTTGAAAATAAATCCCATTAGGTAAAATATAAATCTACTTAAAAAAATGGAGAAAAAGAGGTCCATGGATGTTTCTAACTTTGTATTTAAATTAATACAATTTGGTTTATTTGGTCAACATGGGCAAGTAGTAAAGCATTTAGTATTGGTGATTCAAGGGAGAAGTAGTCCCTTTCACACTGTGTCTCAATGCAATTGTTGTTTTGCAGTTCTTCGGACTATTTCACAATCAGATAAACAAAATCAAAGACACAGCATCAAATCATGAAATGAGTATACAAGGAGAAATATACATCAGCAAATTAAAGTGCCTTCTATGATAAGATATTTTGCATGCCATATGTTTATTTATCTCCTTTATGTCACTCATATTAAATGATAGATCATTAGTTAATGATCTGGTCCAGCAAGTGTTTTTCATACAAAATAATCTAAAATACAGAAATAGACATTTCACTGGCATTTTTATTTATAGGTAGATTACAATTTTTATATTATTTACATACATTGATTCTTCTTTTTTTTTGATAAAAGCACTGTACTGGTACAAATCAGCTGAGTGACAACAAGCTGTTTATTCATTTAGGATGATTCACAGGTGTCTTCTAGAGCAGTAATACTTTTGATAACTCTATGACCTTCTTCTTTTTTTTTTTTTTTTCCTAGTGAGACTTCAATTCACTCTATATTGACTTGGTGATATCATGGTTTCTTTAAGGTCTAAAATGATGAAGATGTTTATATTGTCCATACAGTTATAGGAAATGGCAGCACAAAGCTCAGTATGTCAAGTTGTATACTTTGCTTTGCTTGTAGAAGCAGAGCTGGCAGCAGCAGAAGCTGTAGTCTGATTGCCTAAAAAGAGAGGGTCCAAACAAGCTACTTTGGCAGCAAAGAATGAATGAATGCAGTGAAGAACAGCAAATAGATTTGAAAATTCCAGTTCCTGGAATTAATAAGAGAAAAATAAATTTGTCAGATAAAATACAAATCAACTTCTTGAAAAAAAATAATATTTAGACCATTAGATAATATTCAAGTGCAACTCAGATCAATTATATTTAATGCATGAAAACTATAAAACCTTTTGTTTGATATATACATTTCATGTTCACTGCATGTTTTCTTCAAATAATGATGGTCTAAGAGCTAGAAGGACTAAAGCATTCTTACCATGCTTGAAACTAACTTCAGATTGATAAAGATTTCTGGAAATATATATGGTCAGATTAACATGAGGACACCATTAAAGATATTTGTGTCTCTGTACATATTAAAAAATACATTTGAATCAGAATTATTAAAATATTTTCAGTACCTCAAGAATAAATCATTGCTTTTCATGGGAAACTGAATATGAAGTCAATGACTCAATTCAAAATAATTACTGTGATGATTTGATAATTTTAATACATTTTAAATTCTGTACTTTATTACTTAAAATTATTGTAAAACACTATCATCCACACCTCACTAATTGCTTGAATTTTCAAAAATATTTCCCATTTGGATATATAATGAAATTTATCACCTAGTATCAACCAAATGATGACTATTACAATGTAAATAGAACATATATTTCAAAACACAAATGGAGTCTGATTGGCTGAAAGTCATGGGGAAGGAAACAGAGCAAGATACAGATTTATATTTCTTTTCTTATTCATTTTTTTAATGGTCATTGAGTTAACACTGGTTTTTCAATACTGTATGTAACTTAGGTTCACAGTTCGCAACCCTCAGATGTATATAGCCACACCCACCACCAAGACATCCATGTCCTTTGGCAAAGCCCATTCTCCCCTTCTCCCGTTACCCCTAGCTTCCCTCCTCTAGTATCAACAATTCTGTAGTCACATAGCTAGCATTGGTTTTGGTTCAGTTTTCTCAGTTCATTTGCATGGTTTTTCTACATTCTACAAAGTTCTTTACAAATGAATTAAAAATAAGTGAGACTATCTCATTAATTCCCTTCAGAGTTTCAATTCTGATAATTTGCTATGGCAAGTGTAGCCTTAGTTTATAGAATATTAAATTATATACTTAAATATTCTAATTACCTGAAATAATTCTTATTAAGTCATTTTAGTCAATCTATAATAGTTATCCCAATAGATTTACTTTAATAATCTACTTCACTCTCACTATGATGTTACTGGTTAGTTAGTAGGTATCCTTTTGCTTTAACTTCCTAAAAGTTCTCCATTCTGCATTTTCTTATTGTTGTTCAGCTAACTCATTTCACATGCAATTAAGAATGCTTCTTCGTCAAAACATATCAAATCCACCAGATATGAGATGGGTGGGGTAGTTTTGGAAAACAAAATATGCAATGTGTTATTAAAATATACATACGATTTACTCTTGGTAATGACAGAAGTATTGTTGAATGTTGGAAGGGAAAACATATAGCAGCATTTTCTTAAAAATAATTTTAGCATATTTTTATCAGTATGGGGATTGCATTTTAGTTAACAAACAAGTATCTAAACATCCATAAGATGTTGGCAACATTTATATGTTCAGTTTAGTCATACACTGTCACTTATATGTACTTTATTTTATTTAGACTGTTAAATTTAAATTGTGTTTATCTTTTGCAGGGGAGTTAATGCTAGGCATAGAATAATAAGTAATTGTAAGAAAAAGCCAGAGGCAGAGATTTGCCGTTGGTCCCTATATTCCAATGTCAACTCTGCTTCAATGGTCACCTTTGATGATCATATCCACTTCTACAGTACCAACGATCACTTCTACATATACTGCAGCACTCCCAAAGTCTTTTAAACTGACACTTTAATCTATCTACTGAGCATCAACAGATAGCTTTTGGCAGATAGCTTTTGGCACTCCCAAAGCCTTTTAAACTGACATTTTAATCTATCTACTGAGTATCAACAGGTAGCTTTTTTTAATGTTCTTGTCATAAAGGAGACAAAGCCTTCAGAATCTGTGAATTTCACTAAATATAAATTACCTTCAAAATGAAATCATTCATTTATTCAGTGGATATTTAGTATTTATTATGCTTTTTTTTTGGGGGGGGGTGAAACGGCATATTAGTGAGCAAAACAGTCCTGATGGTACTTATTTCCTTAAGGCAGGAAACAAAACATTTGAAACAATCAAAACCAATGCAAAAAAACTAATCGTGGAAACATGGCTGCATAATTGACTAAAGAGGTCAAGGTGTGGGTGAATATCAAAGGAGGGGTGGAGCCCAGTAGTCTCCTAAACGCTAAGAGTACTTTGGTGGTGGATGTGATACAGTAATTTTCATTTAAAGGAATGTGAACTTATTTTCTAGAACATATAGTGATATAATCCAATATTATCCCAATTAAAAAAATAAAGGAAATAAATATAAAACTTCAAATCGATGATTAATATAGTAAAGAATATAAAGTAGAAAAGAGACTGCAGAATGTGAGAGGATGGGATAGGAAAATTAACTTATCCTTAGGGAGAAAACAAAACTAAGGGAATAAAGGAATAAACTATTTGATGTCTGTGGGAAGAACATTCCAGGTATAAATTCATTTCAAGATCCTGGAAAGAGACATTCTAAAATATTTGAAGAAATGCAAGGGTCAAGTGTGCTTGCAATGAGATGAATAAAAAAATGATTCCGAGGGAACGCATCAAAGAAATAACAGAGATCATATCTGGCAGTGCCATATACATCCTTTATGATTTTTGCTGAGCAGCATGGAAAATTTCTGAAGGATTTTGAGCAAAGGAATAACAAGCATTGGCATAAATAAAACTTAAAAAGGAATTCGGACTGTATTGTTGAGAATAATTCTTTGCAATAATATTAACATAGGGAGATATAAAGTTTTAAAATGTGGGATAGCATGAAATTTCAAAGTAAATTTTAGTAAAAAATGATACCAAGATTAAACAACTTCAAGGAGAGAGTTGCATTTACAGAAATGGAAGAACAGTGGGGTAAACAGTTTAGGCATAAACCATGGAGATTTTGGTTTAGACATGTTACATTTTAGAGCTTATTAGACAAGTGATAACTATGATTGTTAAAACTGTTGTCTGAATGAGAAGATCGAGGTGTGGAAGGATGTAGAAAATTCAACTCAGCTCTGGATCTTAAGGTATGAAAATGTTAAGGAAGAACCAATAGGATAAACAACAGTTATTTACAGGGAACTGAGAAAGAGAGTCTTGTCAAATGGCCACTGGAAATTGAACAACGGACTTAACCACACGGAAGTCACTGTTATGTGTGACAAAAGTTTTTGCAGATAATTGGTAACAAGACCAATAGGAATTAATTCGTGAGTGAATGGGTTGAAAAAATTAAAAGCTGAATATGAATGACAACCCTTTAGAGGAGTCCACCCAATTCTAAAATTAACAGAGAAATATAATAATAGGTGAAGCTAAGAATTTATTTTCAGCATTTAAGCTCTGAAGATTTATTGCCATCAATATAGAACTTACATATAATCACTGGCGAAGAGGAAAAATTGAAAACAAAATGTATACTGAGGAGAAAAGGTATATCAGGAACCAGTAAAAATACATAATTTTGGACATTTTCTCCCATAAAAGAAAGAGGGAAAATACAGACAGAATTGGCGGTGTGTTACTTTACCTAAATCCATTTTGTTTAATTTATATTAAAAGCAGTTTCCTGGACTCTCTCTGGTGGCTCAAGGGTTTGAAGCACAGCACAATGCAGCTATCAGCAGCAACTGCAACACAAATTAGATCCCCAGCCAGGGAGGTGACCCACATGTCCCTGCAGTCCTTTCCAGTCTCATCTGTTGCTCTCCTCAGCAGCGTATTTCAGTCAGTGTGTGTGTTCTGCTCCCCACTCTATCTCTGGTGAATCTTCTCACTCCCTGCACCTCTGGTCTATAACCCAGTTCTTATATGCATAAATAAATACATATTTTTTGTTTGTTTTCAAAGATTATTTATGCATACAGAGTGGGGGACAGGCCAGAGGTGTGGAGACGGAGAGAGGATTCACCAGAGATAGAGTGGGGAGCAGAACAGGCAGATGGACAACGTACACTGCTGAGGGGAGCAGCAGGCGGGCCAGGAGAGGTCTGCCAAGCCATGTGGATCACCTCCAGGCTAGGGATAGAACTGGCATGGAAATGGCTGCAGCCAGCAAGGGCCCTAAATAAATGAATCTTAAAAAAAAAAAAAAAAGAAAAGGAACTTCCTCAACTGAAAAGAGATAATAAGGCATCAAGTACCGATAGTTGAACAAATAATTACTAACAATAGCTAGGTACCATTTTGCTTTATTTTCTGGAATTTATCCTCATTTTGCTGACTGCATAGATGCTTTTATTGAACTGAATGTTCTATATAAAATATAGAATATCATACAGTATCCTCAATCTGTTTTCATGTTTTCCATACCACACAATCATGCTTCATTAAGTCAATAATTTATGAAAAAAAAACATTATCTTCTAGATGTAAAAACAAAATAATTCATTAAAAAAGGTAAGAAAAATATATATTAATTCCTCAACTAAAACACTACTATGTCTTATTTTGACTGTTGATCACATAAGTTTCCTCATTATATGAAAAGGTTCTGTCTCATTTCCACTATGATTTTCATTCAGCCTTCAAGAAGTAATTCAATTCCAATATTGTCCATGAGATCGCAGTCTTCCTGGGTGGGCAGGGGACTCTCCATCATGATTTGTATAGTCTTTCTTCATATGGTATTATTCACAACTGATGGCCATTCAGACCTAATAAATTTACCTATAACAGTAATATAAAGGTCAATATTCCCCTAACTTGACACTCAAGTTATTGGATAATTCACTATTTTCCCATAAAGGTCTTATGCTGATAGAACTTACATAAGATAATGTAAAAGATCAGAGTATACATACAAATCATATGGACCAGAGTATACATTTCAGTGGATTCAGAGTTGTATAACCATGACTC